TGTCGAAATATTGAATCCCAACACGATGGTGTGTATTTCAATACTTGGAGTATGTATTATACTTTCTTAACAGAGGGACAAGATAATTAGAACAAAAAAAATCCACTAACAGAAAAAAAAGACACAAGATTTAGTCATTTCAGCATTAACTGTATTCCAAAGTTGGTAAGTTAAATTCCAACACAGGTCAAACTGTCTGTGTTCTTGGGTAAGTCTTATATCTATAAAACTCCTTATCTTACACAGTGCATACCTCCACCCTATGCTTGAATAATGAACAATACATGTAGGGTGTGAATGGCAATTTGTTTATCTTCAAAGGGGGTTTCAGAAAAAAATGTTCAATTTGTATGACCATGTCCTTAAAACTTTTGACTACCTCTTCCTTAGATCAATATCTACCATTAAACTAAACTTTATGATGATCTATTCATTAGATAAAAGACAGAAAGAACATACAGACAGATGAATACATAACCTCCTTGGCGGAGTTAGTAATTAAAGGAGGATAAAGAAATGTGAAATTTCCTAAAAGACATTGGAAAGCAGCACATAGACTTCCTATCTATTGGAAATGTAGGGGGATAGATTTATACTTTTTTTTTGTGTAAACCATAGATGCATCTAAACCATAGATGCATCAATAATATGTAATACACAGTATATCAATAAAATAGATTTGTGCCTTTTGCAGTTTCTATTAATAGCTCATTATTGTATTAATAAAAGTATTTTTACAGGCCACTGATCTAGAAATAGTTCTAATCTTAGCTAACTTACTTTGACTAGGGCATGCTCCAGCCTGTGTTCAACTGGCAATTTCCTCCATTCATCATTTTCAATCACCTTCTTAGCCCCCTTTCCAAGTGTCTGAAAAAAATTTTGAAAATCATAAAAAATTATGCACAACTAATATTAAGATGGATTCTGTATAAAAAAAAAACAGGCGATTTATGCATTGACGTCTATATAATACAATGGCAAAGAAAGAGGGGTATACAGAGTAATGCATTTTGTTACTCTTACAACCAATGATATGCTATTTGATGGTATAATGGCTGCATGTGTTATTTCAAACAAGTAATTTCGACTTACAAATAATAAAATTAAATAAAACATTATAAACATACCTGTGCGTATGCTAAAAGTTTCTCGGTACCATCAGGATCTTTGTTCCAAATAACGTTCTCACATAGTTGGAGTAAAGTTGGGTTGATGTCATCATACACAGGTAAATTACCTGCATTCACAATACCCATGTCCATACCAGCCTACAAATTTCATTATCAAAGTACCAAGTTGAAAGAGATAAAGTGAAACTTTTAATATAATTTTTTTTTACTTAAATAATGATTGATTTTTCACAAAATTTTTGGGGCCATGACTTGTTCAGTGAACTTACATTTACCTCCATCCAATGATATTTTTTCATTCAGTATCTTACAGTAGCACCAGTCTATTGTGATCTTTTTAGATTAACATGACAATTGGTGCCATGATATCTGATCAATATTTTTCCTCAGAATTAAAGTAAAGCATGTATTAATCCAATTACCAAACTATTTACCACATTACATAATTCATACAACAATGTGATAGCAATTTGAGTGCATAGATTGCTTTTAAATTACTTTTTTACCTCAAAGACTCTTTTATTCATCAATAAAATTTTATTTTTTAAACTCTTTTCCAGATTTAAAAAAAGTAAAGTTAGCTTGTCAAGGTACAGTAGAACCTCGATTTTACATATGGAGGGTGTATGTAAATCGGAGGATTCATAAAATTAAGGTTGGGTTACATTTTAGGTAACCTTTGACCTAATATGTACTACATAACAGTCAATAAATGTATGTCATGAACGAATATGTTACTAGGCCTAGGCATACAACTGTTTCTGTAGGCTTAGGCCTAAGAATAAAACCATGCTTATTATTATTATTCATCACTTTACGATGTCATAATAAAGTGTTCAAATAAAAACATGTGTCTAGTGTATTAATTCATCACTTCATATCTTTTAATTAATTAAAAAACATCAACATATGTGGCAAACACAAGCCAAACCAGTCACTCGCCGCAAATCGTGTTTCAGAGAAAATGGCCAAAACATGCTAGAAT